ACTGCGAGCCACAACTGCTGAGCCTGCATGCCACAACTACTGAAGCCCACACGCCTAGAGCCCGTGCTCTGCAACAAGAGAAGCCACCGCAATGAGAACCCTGTGCACCGCAATGAAGAGTAGCCCCGCTCACCGCAACTAGAGAAAGCCTGCATACAGCAACGAAGACACACCACAGCCAAAAATAAATAAATAAATAAATAATATATATATATTTTTTAAAAAGCTACAACAGTGGCAAAAAAGGTTGACTTTGTGTCCTACCTTTCAAATTCTCTTTCTAGTGATGAAGACACTCATTTCTCTAGAACTGTTACTAAGGAGCTTTACATATTAAATCTTACTCAGAATCAAAATCAAAATCTCCATTGCCTCTACCACCTTCCATCTTCAGAAAAGGGAAGTTTCAATCTTGCAGCCATACCTCTAACCTCAGCTCTGGTTTTACATCTCCATCCAGTCTACTCAACATTTCCACCTGAGTCAAAATATCAAATTAATTACAGCTCAAATAAATATTCCCTCCTACATCACCAGCAGGGAATGCCTCTAGAATGCCTCTAGAATCTGACTTGGGTGTCAGCCCAAGTCAGACCCCTGAAGTCTTCTCAGATTCCTTCCTCACCACTCCCTCTGTAATCCAATCCAAGTGTCCCATCAACCTGACTGCTCAAGTCCCTCTGGAATCTTTCTCCTTGCCTTTCCAAAGATCACTACTACCTTGCTCATGTCCTCTCTACTTCCTGCCTAGACGACTGTCAAAGCCTGCCTGGTCTCTCTGCTTCTTGCAGGCTAACCCAAATGCAATCCAGAGTGATCTTCCTATAATGGTACCAGACTGATCTTTCTATAACAAAAGGCCAACTGTGTCATTTCTAGGTTAAAAATCAATCCTTCAGGCGCTTCTCTGGTGGCTCAGTGGTTAAGAGTACACCTGCCAATGCAGGGAACACAGGTTCGAACCCTGGTTCAGGAAGATCCCACATGCCACGGAGTGGCTGGGCCCGTGCACCACAACTACTGATCCTGCGCTCTGGAGCCCAGGAGCCACAATGGGAGAGGCCGCCGCAGTGAGAGGCCCGTGTGCCACAGCGAAGAGTGGCCCCTGCTCGCCACAGCTGGAGAGGGCCCACACACAGCAACGAAGACCCAATGCAGTCAAAAATAAATAAATAAAATCTATTAAAAAAAAAAAGATGTTAAAAAAAAAATCAATCCTTCAGTGGTACCTCACAACTTTTAAAAGAAAGTCCCCAAAGGAAGCACATACAGTTGCTGCATACTTCTCTAACTTCATCTTTTATTACCACTCCACTAAACTGGTCACCTTAAATGGTTTTGATTTCATACCTTTATCAGTTAAAAAAAAAAGAGCATGCCCCATCATAAATGTGTATGTATTTTAACTGTATACACAGAGAAATATACATAAATAATAATAAAATAATAATAAATAAATAATATATTAAAAAAAACATATTTACCAAACAGAAATCTTCATAGGATGAGAAAAACAAATGAACCAAGTGGGAATGTTCATATTTTCTTTGAGCATCCCAATGACTGTTTTATGTACCTTCCCCTTAACTGCTATTGCCTATAACTTCAGTCTCACTGTATACCTGTAGGTCCCTGCATCAGCTCTCTGATGTCACCGTGCTTTTATGTATACTATGGTTCTCTCTGCCGAGAACAGTCATTCATCCATCTGGCCATTGTCCTTCTTCCTTCCTTGCCATTCGTTCTTCCCTCAACCCCTACCCGCAACTCTGCCTAGCTACCTCCTTTGATTTGGTAAAACCCAGCTTAAGTGTCGCCAACACTGAAAGTTTTCCCTGACCTCATCATTTACCACTCAGATGGGAAGGGACTCCAAATAATTTTATCAAAGGACACTGACAGACAGTAAAAAGAATGTATTTCAGGAGATCACTACTTGGGAAAAGAAGCACTTGGCCTTTGAAGAAAGTTAGCTAAGTAAGACAGCCCAGAAGGTGGTGCAGCCGTACATTCTTTGGTCTGCCTTTATGACAAAGATGCAAATAATCAACAAACAAGTTGACTTTCTATCACTGCTGTTCTCTCTTCTTTCCAAACCAGGCCCTCATCACTTTTCTCACCTTCTGGAAGAGGCTTTTAGGTGTTCTCATGACCTCCAGGCTTGGATCCCTCCAATCTATTCTGTAGAATGATTTGAATCCCTTAGTGATTCCCCACTAACTATATAAAATTCGATTTTCTTAGAAGTAACATTCTAAGCTCTCTCCATGACCTGGCTCCAACCTACCATTCTAGTCTTCTCTACCACGGCTCCACCACTTAGATAACTTGAACGTGAACCAAAAACAAGGTAACTCATTTCTCCAGAACACGCTCCACATTGCATCTTTCTGCCATCTCACCACATTTTTGCTCAGATGTTTCCCCCACCTAGAATGCCCTCCCATGTAACCGTCTCCCATGTGATGTTGGGACCCCATCCATCTTTCAAGGCCTAGACTCACCCCCACCTTCTGCTTGACGCATTCCCTGATATCCACAGTTGAAATACAACCTTGAATTGTATTGCTTTTCATAGTTTAAAGATCATAGATACATTTTATCCTTATAGCAGCTTTGTTTACACCCTGCTAAGATCACTATAGCCAATGATAGAATTGGGGATTCAAACGTAGGTCTTCAGCCTCCAAATACCCTGTGTATACCACAGATGCCACCTTTGAAAATCTCTACTTTCTGCGCTCCCACGGTGCTTTATAATTTCAAAAGCACATAATCCCAGTTCCATCTTATGTTAGAGTTGGTGTATGTTTGGTGAAGGGAGGAACTTCATCTTGTTCATTTGAATGTCCCCCAAGGTATCTACCATGCTCTCTACATACAGCAGATGATCAGTGATCAGACTGAATTAATTCACTTAGGTTTTCTACTTTCCTTCATGTCAAGTTCCAAAATTACTGCTGTAGTCAGTACTCTAGAAGCACAATAGGGAGTGTGGGTTCCTCGCTAGGCAAATTACTCAACACCTCTGTGCCACTGTCTACTTATATATAAAACGGAGATAATTATGCCTTCCTCACAGGGTTGTTGTGAGGATTAAATTAAGTAATGTACTTAAAATAACAAACCGGGGCCTGGCACACTCAGTATATCCCAGCTGCTATTATATACTCCATTTTATGTCCCCCATATGGTGCTTCTAGGGTGCAAAACGACTAATCTCAAAAAATAATTACTGGGACTTCCCTGGAGGTCCAGTGGTTAAGACTCCATGCTCTCAATGCAGGGGCACAGGTTCGATCCCTGGTCAGGGAACTAAGATCATGCATACCACACGGCATGGCCAAAAACAGAAAAAACTTCAAATCAAGAGAAATTGACATAAATTAAGAGTGTGTAGGACTTCCCTGGTGGCAAGAATCCGTCTGCCAATACAGGGGACGTGGGTTTGAGCCCTGGTCCGAAAGATCCCACACGCCGCGGAGCAACTAAGCCCGTGAGTCACAACTACTGAGCCTCTGCTCTAGAGCTGGCGAGCCACAACTACTGAGCCTGCGAGCCACAACTACTGAAGCTCGCACGCCTAGAGCCCGTGCTCCGCAACAAGAGAAGCCACCGCAATGAGAAGCCCGTGCACCGCAACGAAGAGTAGCCCCCCGCTCTCCGCAACCAGAGAAAGCCTGCTTGCAGCAACGAAGACCCAACGCAGCCAAAAAAAAAAGGTGTAAATTAAGAATGCAAAGAATTGTACTCAATCAATTTTATCAAGCTCTCCTTGAAATATTTTTTTAATAGTCCAGTACATAAAATGCCCAGTTACCTGGGAAATTAATTTACACTGAATAACTCAATCTATATTATGTGAAATAACAAGGTATTAACATTAAAGAGTATAAAAAGTAAGATTAAGTGTGAGAGGAAATGTATATATTTACTTCTTCCCTCTTAATTTTGCAGTGACTAACATTTTTCCTAAGCTAAGTACTACCAGGTGCTAGTCAAAGGATTTAGCAATTAGAAGTGTCTGACTCTCCACCCCGAAGGCAAAGATTAAGAAGGGACTAAAGTCACCAACCGGTCTTAGAGGTCTGTACAAAGCACATACTCAAACGTCAAGGATTTTAGAACTTCCCCAGTCAAATGAATACATACAAAGGCTTTTTCTGACAGTGATGAGCACGCTGGAGTAAACCCCCCGGAGCGGCTGCCCGGTCTGATCTTGACAACGCCCGGAGGCACCACACCTGAGTGAGTTACAGTGGCTCTCAGTATAGACCTGTTAAGCAAGCTGAACGGATGAGAGCCTTCATATGCAACGGGTCATTCCTCTTACTGGGTCTCAGCTGCAATGAGATGGTCTGTGAAGGAATTTCCAAGATTCCCTTCGGATCTAAGCTCCATGATTCTGCCATCTCTCCTGGGGCCACCGAGCAAAGTGTGGCCGTGAGCAACCGGAAAGGCCAACCCAAAGGGAAATTCTGGGCGCGGCTAAGGTCAGGGGCTATCAGATTGGTTTGGAGGAGTTAAACGCGGAGCCAGGACAGTTACAGAAAATGATCCCGGCTGGGAAAAGCCGGCCCGTAGACCTTCGAACGTAGACTGGAGTTCAGAAACTTCTTTTCTTACCCTCCACCTCTACTGCCCTGGGGAACACGCACACCCACAGACAAGAGCTCTGACCCTGTGTTAGCCATGGTTTCCTGTTACCGTCCCAAATCATGCAAGTTAAAGCAAGCAGGATCGCAGCCTTTCAAACAACTTGAAGAAACGGACCCTCTCCAGATCCCCCACTGGACACCACTGGCCCTCTTCCCAGCCCACTCCGATCCGCCCAAGGCGGGCAGAGCTGCAGTGGTGGTAGGATGGGGTTCGAATCCAGAGTTCGAATCATCCAGCCCAAGCGAGGCCTGGTTGAGCCCAAGGGACTGCTCCCTCCTTGGGGTCCCAGTCGCGCCACGCACGGCGGGCCCCGACTCTGGAGAATTAGGTTCTGCGCCCACCTTGGTGCTGGGGTCCGGGTCTTTGCAGCAGCCGAGGGCGGCCTCATCGGTGAGGCCGCCGGACGCGGGCAGCGGTTCTGCCATGGCCGCACTGTTGTAACGCGGACGAAGGTGGCCAGGAACGCAGCAGCTACTCTCACTCTGCCGACCGCGAAGCTCCCTTCACCAGCGCCCGCAAGACGGCACCACGGGGTGGGCGGCCGCTGAATTCCAGCCAATTGCTACGCGGAGGGCAAGTTGGCTGTCTGCTGATTGGGTCCCAGTGAGTCAGCGCCTCGGGCCACAGCGCTCAACACCCAAGACTACAATTCCCAAGGTGCCTTGCGTATGATGGAGGGCACCTTGAGGTTAAAAAAAAAAAATCCAAACTGGCCAATTTGAAAGCGCGTTTCTCGCTGTTGCTTGATGACCTAATTTTGTTTCTGTTTAACTGTTAAAGTTCAGTAACCACCCATACCTCAGGGCTGCAACGTGGTAGGAAATACGAATCTGATGGAAAGAGAATTGGGAGTTATGAATTTTAAATTATAAGGATCCAAAACTATTTTCTCACTTTAAGCAGCACAGGATAATTAAAACAACTCTGACTTAGCCAGAGACCTAGGTTCAAGTTTTGGTTCCACTGTTTATTAGCTGTAGAAGCTTGGAGTAATTACTGAACCTTCTCTGCGCTTCCTTGCAGGATTTTGGTGAGGATCAAACGAGATTTAAGTTATGGTTTCACTGCTTATGTAAATGTCCATAACTTACAGTGAGTTTTACGTTAATTTTGCTAAGGCACATATTTTAATTGTGTTCATTGGAAAACTTAGTCATCACTGTGTTCTTTGATGACGGGCACATAGTAGATTCTCAATAAATACTTCCTGTTGTTGAAAGACTAAATGATCATGATCATTGTAACCATAATTTAGGAAAGGACTTTATATTAATAAATGAATGGGGAATGAGATTTGACAATGTTTTTAAGTGAATAGGATGGTCTATATAAATTAGCAAAAAGATGGATGGATGTCAGGAATTTGGGTTTCAGGGAGTTGGGCAAAATGGGAATTTATTGGCTCACCCAATCAAACTGAAGCGGGGCAGGGAGGCATCTCGCACCAGGCATCTAGCACCAGGCACCTGGCCACCACCAAGATGTCTCCATCTCTCATCTCAGCTTCTTTCTTCATCTCAGATTCATTTTGTCAGACATAACTGCTCCTCTAGTCTAGAAACCTGGAGCTCTCAGCCTCTCAGCCTCTCACCAGAGAAAGAGTGAACCTCTTCCCTGAATTCCAATTTTGATAAAATCCAGGGAGGAGCCTCTGTTGGCCTAGACTAGGACCTGTGCTTACTCCTGTGGTCAGAGCACAGTAATTGACAGCCTGGATTAGAGCCACCTGCTTGGAACCGGGGGGCAAAGCAGTTCCCCAAAAGAAGAGGGATGCTGTTCTTGTAAGAAGAGAGTTCCTGTGCAAACTGAAGTATAGAGTTTCAACAGAAATTTTGTGCATACCTGGTGCTAACGTATTGAGGGATATCTTGTCAAAACTCAATGTACTACAACTACAGAACTTGGACATGGAGCTAGACCTTAAAGCTGCTAAACCAAGGAATTCAGGCAATACACTGGCCCTCAACACACTGTGCATTACCGCTGAATTTTTGCATAGGAAGCCCAGACAAAAGAAATTTGTCTGAAACATTTTATTGAAAAGCCATCCCAAGCTGTGTTTTTCCTCTAAACCCTCTGGCGAACTTCCCAGAGTATATGAGATAAACCATGTAAATGGATAGGAAGACTCAATATAATAAAATACTGATTCATTTACAAATTAATACATTAATGTAGTGCAATTCCAATAAAAATCCTGATGGGTTTTTCAATGAACTGAATAAGCTGATTGTAGATTCTAATTTTAGAGCCCCAAGTAGACAAGACACATTTGAAGAATAAATAAGGGGAGTTCCCTGGTGATCTAGTGGTTAGAATTTGGCACTTCCACTGCTGTGGCCCCAGTTCAATCCCTGGTTGGGGAACTGAGATCCCGCAAACTGCACAGCAAGGCCAAAAAAAAAGAGAAAAAAAGTAGGGGAACCTACCCATCCAAGACAGTATAAATCTACAGTAAGACAATGTGGCAATGGCACTGGTATAGATCAATAAATGGGAACCGTGGCAAGCAGCTCTAAAATAGCCCCAATGATCCCCACCTCCTGGTATTTATGCTCTTGTGTTATTCTCTCCCCATGAATATGGATTTAGTGACTCACTTCTAAGGAATAGAATATGGCAGAAGTGATGGGATGTCACTTCTGAGTTAGACTATGTAGAGGCTGTGATTCTTGTCTTGGGATCTCTCTCTTACTTTCTTTTTCTCCAATCTCTCACTCAGAGGGTAAGCAAGCTAAAACGTTGTGAGCAACATATGGAGAGACTCATGTAGCAAGGAACTGATGTCCCCTGTCAACAGCCAGTGAGGATCTGAGGCTTGCCAACAGCCACATGAGTGAGCTTGGAAGTGGGTCCTCTCCTAGGAGAACTTTGAGATGACTGCTGCCCCAGTTGACCCCTTAACAAGTTGATCTTGTAAGAACCTTGAGCCAGAACTACCCGGCTAGGGCTAGACCACTCCCAGATTCCTAACCCACAGAAACTATGAGATAATAAATGTTTGTTGCTTTTAGCTGCTAAGTTTTGGGGTAATTTGTTGTGCAGCAATACACAACTATCACACACATGTACACACATGAAAACTTGATTTAGATCAGAGCTAGTACCGCAGATCATTGGGGAAAGGATGACTTTTTCAATGAATGGTGCTAGGATGCCATCATTTATCTATATGAAAAAAAAAAAAAGCAGATTTCTCCATTTCATACCATAAAGAAAAACAGAAGTCCAAGTGTGTATTAAAGATATAAAAGTGAAAAGGTAAAACTTAAACATGTAAAGAATAAAATATCAGAGAATATCTTTATGAATTCATGGTAGGAATTTCTTAGTGAGATGTAAAAGCACAAAATATAAAAGAAAAAATACCTTAACTAAAACACACCATAAAAAAGTAAAAAGACAAACCACAAAGTGGGAGAAGGTATGGGCAACACACATAGCCAACAAAGGATCAGTATCCATAATATGTAAAAACCCTTACAAATCAATGAGGAAAAGGTAACTCAATAGAAAAAATGGCAAAAGAGAAAAATAGGCAGTTTACAAAAGAGGAAACACAAGTAACTAATAGGCACATGAAAAAATGCTCTAACTTACTGGAAAACAGGGAAATGCAATTTAATATAAAAATGAGGTTCCCTTCATACCCTTCAGATTGACAAAAATTTTTAAATTCATAGTGTATCAGTATCAAGTGTTGGTGTGAATGAGGAGCAGTGTTTGCTGGTGGAAACCTAAATTATTATAAACACTTTGGAAAATAATTTGACAGTATTTAAGTAAGGTTAAATACAGTACATCCTACTAAGTACATATCCAGAGGACTATTATGCCTACACTCTAAGTATAAGAGACAAAGTTTGAATAGAAAAAAATTGATAAAACCTAAATGTCCAACTGTGAGAAAATAAATTGTGTTATTTTCACAGTGGACTAATATACATAAGTGAAAATGAATGAATCTGAGGAACATATTCCAACAGTGATAAACCTCACAAATAGAAATGAAATAATTAAAAGTTGCAGAAGAATTCATATGACCAATACAACTTTTAAAAAAGTTTTAAACTCTGTAAGAATATAATGTATTGCTTAGGGCTAAATATACATCCAGTAATGGCATCAGGAAGTACCTGGGAAAAACAACTCCAAATTCAAGAACATGATTTGCTCTAAGCAACAATGGAAAAAGCCAAATGGGAGGGATGTACTGGGGATTTAAATGTTTTGACGTTGTTTCATAACTTAAGCTGGATGTTGGGTAAATGGATAGTTGTATTATTCTTTATACCTCTCTGTATCTCTTAAATATATATAATATACTTTTTAAAAGCTTAAAAGTAATAAGCACCACATAGAGAAACAAAAGAAAAGACAGCAATAGTGGGGAAGGAATAGTTTAGAATAGTCACTATTTTAGAAGACACAAATTCCAAATAGAGTTTAGAATTGTTTCCTTTTTGGTAGAAGGGATATTAGTTTCCTTGAGCTGATGTAACAAATCATCAAAAACTTGGTGGTTTAAAACAACAAAAATTTATTCTCTCACAATTCTGGAAGCTAGAAGTGTGAAATCAAGTTGTTGGCAGGACTATACTCTCTCTAAAGGCTCTAGGGGAGAATCCTTCCTTGCCTCTTCCATCTTTTGGTGGCTCCATGTGTTCCTTGGTTTGTGGCAGCATAACTGCAATCTCTGCCTGGGTCTTCACATGGCCTCCTTCCCTGTGTCTGAAATCTCTCTCCTCTTTTTCTTCTAAGGACACCAGTCATAGGATTAAGGGCCCACTGTAGATCCAGGGTGATCTCACCTTGAGATCCTTAAGTTTACCTGCAAAGACACTATTTCCAAATAATGTCACATTCACAGACAGGTACCAGGAAACAACAGACTTGGACTTATTTTAGGGGGACACAATTCAACCCACTGCAAGGTGAACATACCTGTTTTGTTTTTTGTTCTGTTTTGTATGTTAGTAAAATTAAGATTAGGAAATCTACTCAGTATGTTTAAAATACTTTTATGGTAGAGTTAATTTTCCTTAATGAACTTTGTTTTATTAGTTGCTTAGGTCTCTATTGTCAGTTTTTCTTTTTTTCAAACTAAATAGGATGGACAACTAAACAGGGTATAGGTATGCTGTTTCAGCCATTAAAAAAAGCTCAAAGAATGAACTGTGGATAGTTACTCAATATTTATATATATTTATATATATTTCATATATATTTTACTTGAATGGCTGGCTACTTAAATTGTTATTTGATAATAAGATCATGTGGCTATGTTAGGACAATTATAACAACAAATATTGATAATCTGTGTACTTTAATTGCACATTCCCTACAACATTTAGACATTTCCAGTGGGTTGTCTTGATGTTTATATTTCTGTCCATAGTATCATCTTTCAGTCAATAAGGCTTGAAACCAAACATCACGGAGTTATAGATTTTTGGAACAAGAAGGGAACTTAGAGATCATCTTATCTCCTGCATTTTATTTTATAAATGAGGACACCCAGCACTACAGCATGTTCACAAT